CAGTTGTAGTCGAAATAGAAATATTATGAGATGACTTCAGCTTATTCTGTGTATCCTTTGAACGATTAACGTTCTTTACGATTTTATTTTGCAACAGTGCGATTCATTCGTCCGAAATTTACGGACCGTATTTTGCGAACAAACAATAGCCCAGTTGCCAAACTGGAATTCAATCCGCACGGGCGTCAGTCGAAAATGGGTTTCCAGATTAGCTTGGTGTTAGACATACACCCGTCCGAATTGCGACCGACGCGAATTTCTATCCGGGCAGTTACAATTTAAAATAATAATGCCCGCAGGGACTCGGTTCTTAATAAAGATTTTGTAAATCGGTCGGAATTTCAAATGGGCTGTCGATAAAATCGTTTCGAACCCACTCGACGACGTTCAACAGTTAGAGTTATTTGTAAATCATACGAAGTTGGGATGTTAACGTGTGCAAACGCGTTACTACTCATTGGATCCGATCCAAATACTCAATTCGATATCGTGACAAAAAAAAACAAAGGTTGTAATTCAAAGGAAATTTTAGACTTTCAATTTCAAAAGATTGTTGATATATTCACATTGGTATTCTAAACCGTGGTAAGAACTAGGTTGTGTTATGCAATCACTATTATTTACATTTTTAATTCGATTTTTTAATAACTGTTGTAAAATTTAAACAATTTTAGGTTTGATTTAATTTGGAAAGTAGTTCATCTCTATGTAAAATTTATAAAAGATGGAACAAATTTGATACTCTTAATAGAAGACTAGAAGATTACTGCTGGCGAAATACTTGAGACTACTGAAGACTAGATGCTGTCGCCAAAAAACTACATAATGTTGATAGAGAACTAGATGCTACTAATTGTAAGAGAAAACTAGATGCTGGCAACACAAGACTAGATACTGCAAATTAACCAGCAGATACTGCTTACAAATGACTAAATATTGCTTGTAAGAAACTAGATTCAGCAGATCAAGGACTACTATTAATAGGAGATTAGATTCTCTTAATAGAACATTAAATTCTCTTAATAGAAGATTAAATACTCTTAATAGAAGACTAGACACTGTTTGCAGAAATACTCAATACTGATGGTTGGATGGTGCAGCCAGAAGACTAGGTACTGCTGGTATAGAACTAGATACTACCAAAAGAATTGACTGTAATTATATAGCATAGATAATTTTTATGCAATAGTCTTTAATATAACTGTATTTGACAATGACTATTTTTTCTCATTTTAGTCGTGCTTTATAAAGACCACCTGGTTGGTTGAAACATTAATGTAGCACTGATTTAATAAATAAAAATATTTCATCATTGTTTAGAATTTTGCATATTATTGACACCGTTCGAAATAGAGAATCGAAAACCGATACATAACATCGCAGTCTAAGGAGTCCCAATAAACAAAAGAATTAGCTTAGAAGGAAATTGATAATAATGTTGCGACTCTTTTTACTTTCTCGCATATACAAGGTATACAGGATGTATCTAAACAACACCGACAAACTTCAGGAGATAATTCATTTATAATTTTTAATGATAGTTTCTTATATATGAAGCAGACGATAACTGCTACTCTGGAGAGGTCAAAAAAACATGGAAAAAAATTGACAGAACTTATTTTCCAAATTTAAAGATTTGGTGATTCAACGTTTTGGACTTATTTATTTCCATTACTTTGTAGTCGATTTCAGATTTGAGATAATTTTCTGATTTTTTTAATATTTCATTAATTTATTTTTTATAAAAAAGAAAAAAAAATACAAGAAAAGCTTGATAATGACAGAGTTATCAAGAGTAGACATCTGTCGCGGTTTAATTTGGTTGGCAAAGAAATTGCAATTTGCCACCCACTTCAGTCTTCACTGAACCTTATTGTGTTAAAAATCGGATCGCAACGACTGAAAAACGGCGAACGCCGGGTAAATTGCAACTTGTGCACCGCTGTTGAGCAGCTCAGACAGACAAAACCGGCAGTTAGTGCTGCCTTTGGCGTTTAATCGATATGAACCTTTACTGTTATCGAAGATTTTTTTTATTACTTTCCCACCCAACAATTTTTACACGTTCACACCAAACGATTTATCGATTTATACTTGTATTAATAAATTTTTTAATACAATTCTTCGCTATAATGATCATTTATTAACTTAAGTGTATGCATAATTTTGTAATATCTATTAATAGCGAGAAATGCATGTTTCTTTTGAGTATGCAAACACATGCTTGAACAATAATTGCAAATGACCGAACGCAACGTCCCGGTTGTATGTATGTAGAGTAATATCTAAATATAACTGGCGATTCATCGAATGTTGGTGGAGACCGAAAAAGTTCCATTTAGTCATAAGAATTTAATACAGTCTCAAATTTTTATTAAAACAACTTTTTATTGTAACGACAACGTTTCGTACATATCTCTTATAATTCACAGTCGGGTATTTGTTAAGGGTAAGCCGAAACTATTAAATCCTGGTCGCAAAGTTTAAGCAAACATATTTATAGTTTAGCCAAACAAGCCCGGAAACCGCATACATCAAGCTGTCTAAACCGCGACCACCTTGTGTCTAAAACTACATACATACTTGTTTAGGTATTATACAAGGGGTGTTGAGACTGTTAAATAGAAACAAAATTATTTACTTACAACTTAAGTATTACATAACAAATTAAAATAGAATTGAGAATCAAAAAAAACAAGTATAGAATCCAATATAAATAAATCCTATTGAACACATCAATCAATTTCAACAGCCACACACATTCTGGTTTACATCTAATTTGAATTGCATTTCTTAACGTTCATATCATCTTCCATTGCAAATTCCATCTGGGTTACTTAACACACAAAAGGACCAAATAATTCTGTGTTATTCTCTCCGACACACAAAAAAAAAGTTTCGCATAATATCCCATCATTTTAAAACATCCTATCATTTTCATCAAAACCGCTCTATGATTTAATTTTTTGTATCCCGATTTTGCATGACCGTTTTTATCCCGATGTAGATAAATTTTTTATGTAGTAGACGAAGCGTTAATAATACAGGTTAGACGACTTCGGACGAACAGACGTCGAAGATCAATGTTGGTAAGATAGTTTAGTATTTATGAATATTCGTGGAAAACCAAGTTTCCGAAACCGATTTTAGGTTGCTGGAGAGAAGAGGAACGATTTCTCTAATTTAGGCTCGCGATCGAATCTGTCGAGATGCTCTGCCATGGTTTTAATTAGAGAGTAAGGAGATGCCGCTTTGTGCGACCCGTGTGAACCCGACCAGATTGTGAGCAGATGCTGATTGATGGGTTTCGATTGCTCATAAAAGAAAGTTTAACGAATAATCATTTCGCGTGATATCTCTGTTAATAGTGTCAATAAATTTAGTAAGAATTTTTTTGTTTATATTATTATCTATTTCAGTAATTGGCTTGAAAAAAAAGTATTCAAGAATACTAAGCGTGCTTTCATGGATGAAATAATCGCACGAACAAAGTATATTTTTTTCCGCTAGTTTGCAGTAAAATTAATATCTGTTTGTCTTGATAGGTATCAGACGAGACCTCGTTCGCACGCGATCATCGTAAACCTAATCTGTTATCCGCTTTATACCTGGCGACTTTTTGCCATTCTATTTCGTTGGGAATAATAAAATGTTTCTTCAATAGTACCAATTTAATAGTTTGGGCCACATCTCTTCGCCGTCCATCTACTTCCAGACGAGGCTTCTTTGTGCTTCGTCCCCGAAGAAGCGCTGTAATTTAATCTGTCCATCCGCTAAGAAGGTTCCCAAACGAAATCGTGTTACCCTTCGAAAAGTAGTGCGTATAGTGAATGCTCGTTTTTCTTATTTCGTTTTTTTGTCGTCAAAAAAATTTGTCTCGGACATATTCGACCGTCTAATCCGAAGCACTTCGAGCTTTTCGTCTTCTTTTCTTAGAATTCCCCAACTCAGATTCAGCTCCATAGGGAAAGGCGCATTACAGGCCTTTTTTCGGTGTCGCTTTGTGTGCGACCCCGTGACTCCGCAATGGGACTCCCTTCACATGCAAATTACAAATTGAATATTCATTCGCGGCGCGTTCGAATATATTTTAAAGTTTATTAGATTTTCGGGCCGGTCAATTTCATTAGAAAATTCCCGGTCGCCGCGTATTCTCTATTCGCCGAGATAAACATTTAGCGAGCGGAGCAATCCTCGCAACCGAGGGCGCGATTGTAATACCGGTAAAGTATGATTGCAATCTCAGGATATCAGAGACTCTACGGGGGGTTGCAATTAGTGGGCGGAGACCCTGTGACAAATCAACGCTCCATCTGCCTTGGAATTTATGCTTTTTCCCTCTATATCGACGCGTCTAAATTTAATCAGGAAGGTCAAGGGATTTATAACTATTAAATGGAAAAACGTATTTATCACAGTTTATTTTAGAATTACACCTAAAACAAGAATAGATTTATTATCATTTTCTTGTTTGAAAATCTTGTTACATAATATCGATGACCGCTTTAGTCATGATTCATAATACTTGAGAAGAGTAATTCCGCGAATAACAAAACATAATTTAATAGGACCATCTAACATGCTCAATTTGTTATTATAACATTGACTTGAATAGTGGTTTGTTGATGTTGAAGCGATTCGAAATTAAATAAGAAAACAAAATTGCATATAAATAACTTCAAGTAACCAAAAATCTTTGGATTTATTTTAAATACGTGAAATTTTTTAACGATTTAAACTGTTAACCAGGCATGCAATTTAAATTAACGCGTAACAAACTAACACAATTTAACTTCAGTCCGAGAACTCGAGCTAACTAGAAACTGCCCGGAACGACTTGAAACACGCTCAAGTACGACTCGAATTGAAGGCGACAAGGCAACTTCGTTTGATGATCCCGTCTAAAAAATTGCCACGTCGCTCACCCCTTTAAGCCACTAAAGAACGTGACGCGACATGCGTTGACTATGCAAAATACCCTCTACCTCTATGACACTTACCTGTAACACACTCTCTCTCATCAGTGCCATCGGTGCAATCTTGTACTCCATCGCATCTAGATGTTCTTGGAATACAACGATGAGTATCGCAACTCCATTCATCTTCAGTACAATCTATAGATTGAAAAAGAGAAATTACAAAACAAGTCTTAATTTTATAATAAATAAATGTTAAGGTTTAAAATGAGAAGTGAAGAAGAACGAAATAAAGAAGGGAATGTTGCGAAAAGGGTTAATAAGTGAAAACACAAAAACACTTTTAGAACGCAGAGATCGCGTTCGATTTTTAAACAGCAGGGGGTGAAAATCGTGTGGCCGTCTAGGGACGGTTTGGGGATGCGAGAAAAAAATCCTGATGAGGGGGTAAATTTTTGAGGAGCCCTTGAGGATAAAGTACACGAAAATCATTTCCGGCTTATATAATTGAATTAGCATTTATATTCAGAGGTGGTTACATTGCCATTGTTAAATTCAACGTAGAATTTTTAAAATAAACTTCAAACATCTTAATCATAATATTAGATAACCTTTACTAGAATCGATTTCATAATATCAAATTATTATAAATTTATTAAATATATTAATTCAAAATAAAATCGATACAATTGGGAGTTTTATAAAGTGAGTTGGCTAACAAAGGATTATTATTGATCAAAAGATTTTTGCGTAGTGTTTAGTAAACAGTGACGGTAATAAAAATTCAAACAGTGTGTTATAAAAGTAGTTGTCACCTTTGTAATAAAGGTCAATAAGTCAATGGAATTCTGACTCAATGAAATCATACTTCTAAGAAAGCTTGATAACCTGGTATTTCGTTTTAATATTATAAGCTCTATAATATTTTGAAATAAAACATCGGAAAAGTGCAGATTTAAAAAAGTTATGAAGAAATCTCACTGTATTTAATTACTAATTATGAAAAGTAGTTTCACATTCATTAACATTATTTATTCACATTAATATAATTGAGTTAAAGAAGGATATTAAGAAGGAATTGGAAAAACTTGTCGGTGTCTTCAAGAAACATAACGTCTCTTTTTGATGTTTATGGACATTGGTATTGAGGGGCATGGCAATAACATAGAAATTTTCGACAATAAAGAAATCAGTAATGTGTAAGGAGTCAGAAACTAAAGCCAGAAAATTGAATACAAAAAAAAGATGTAAAGTGCAGTTAAAAATAAGACAAGTACTAGAAGATACCAGAATAGCCAGAAAGAAGAAAGAGAATTTAGAATAAACAGAAGGAAGGAGCCTGGGCAAAGGAAGCTGAAGACAATGAAACCGCCAGTAGCGTTTATGGATCTAGAAAACGCCCGAATGAGAAGAAAGACATAATCTCGAACCAAATCAGAAAGAAAAACGCTGAAAATATAGCAGTAGAATCTGTATAGAGGAAAAGGAATGAACCCAGAAGCACGCAAGAATTTGCAAGAATGCAGAAAGAAGTAATTAGTTAAGAATGGTGGAAATAGGGAAATAGTCTAAATCTGGGAAACTAAAGACTGTGTAGAAACCAGTAACGTTTAAGTTTCCAGAAAGAAAATTTTCAGAACATAGTCATGTAAAATGAAAATAGAAACAAACTAATAAGTATATATTTCCCCCACTATTACACAATAGCCAGTCACACACAAAAAAAAATACATACAAAGAAAGAAAATTGGGTATATAAGCATGCAGTGTACGAAAAACAACAAGGAAAAGAATAAGAAAGAGAACTGGTCTTGGTTGATCTTCGTAAACCGGGCTTACCAATAGAAAAATTCTACTCAAATTTTACGCAAATTTATGGGAGGAGCTGCATTTTCAAATTACTGCATCTGTTCGATCAAAGACGTTAGATATATAAACTTTAAGCAAAAGTTTTTAACAACCTATAATATATAAAATGTATCATTTTATTTGATAAACACTAATTAAAGTTAAGTAACATATACATAACATCTTTTGCTCAAAAGATCATTTGAAAATATAAGTAAGACCTAAAGCCAAAGTTTGAAATTCCTTTGAAACTTGCCAAGATATAGAACTGATGCAATATAGAAACGAAGGAACATTTGAAAGCACTTTAAAAATACCGGTTCTTGTGATTAGAAAGCTATATCTCCTGCAACCTACATTTCTCAACTAAAACCATCAAATTTTACAGAACAAGGTAACTTCATGGAAGTGTTAAGACAAATCAAAGATTCAATTTTCAATGATAACAGCCCTGCAATTTTTGTTTAGACTATTTTGATTAATATAATCATGTCAAATTTTTGTGTCAAATGATGAATCATTATTGCGACATTTTCGGTAATTACAGAATATAACATACAGTAGCAATCTCTTGCACGTTTACATTTTCAACAATTCTAAGACAACAAAATTAAAATATTCATTGAGATATTTCTGTTAATAGGAATCAATTGATCGATTTAATATTAATATAAGATAACACTCTGTTTAGTGTTCATTTCAAAATTTCTTGTCTAAACTTTAGAAATTTCTATAATCAGAATCGCCAATGTGTTTAAAAATGTGTTTAGATACAAAAGTAAGGTAACAAAATTTTTGAAAATATTATGAAATCGATCCTAAAGCTTACTAGCATTAATTCGATTAAATTATTTAAATCTAGCAACATTGCAGACAAAAAAAATTTAAATTTGCCCACAAAAAATCCTCAGTACCCGGAGATTCTTCGCATTTTGACTCATCTTCTCCATCAGGACAATCTTTCTTTCCATCACACTCTTGATCTCCACAAATGAAAATCGAAGAGTTTCCACATCTAACAACATCATCCGCTCGACATCTAGCGGGTGTAGTTGAAGGTTCAGTAGAAGTGGTAGTTGTAGGAACTTCGGTGGTCGTTGTCGTTGTGGTGGTTGTTGTAGTTGTTGTTGTCGAAGTTGTTGTTGTTGTAATGAATTCATTTTTATCATCATATGGATCCTCTGGATCGACTTCAGGATCAACCTCATTGCTGTAGTCTGTAATTGTGGTTTCTTCGTGCGCTATAAAGTTGAGAGATTCAAATACAGATGGAGACTGTTCGTGTATAAGCGTTGAAAAATTACAGCTTCATTTTCAGCAGCCTTTGTTAGTGTACTATTTACAATAAAAAATTTACAAACCCATTTTTAATGTTAAAATATTAATTTATCTACGAAATCTACGCAAAAATACCACACACAAGTTATAATAGAAAGCTTGAACTATAAATACATTACGTTAGGAAGTTATTTCCTCTAGATCTACCCTTGAAAACTTTTTACTTATGCCTTAGGATTCGAGACGGAAAAAGTTTTCAGATAAAAACGGGACGCCTCTTCAGATATTTCAGAACGAATTCGAGTACATACATGGTAGGAAACAGGAAAAATGGATTAATCTAATCAAAAAGGTGTCTACATTTTTATTTTTTTTTTCTGTTATATGTATTTTTTTGTATTCACAATTTTAATCAAAACGAATATCGTGATACATTTCAGGTATAAACCCGATAAAAACCTGAAACATAGTATGGTCGTCAAACGTCGCGATACGCTTCAATTGTTAATATCAATTTATATTTAACAGAAAAATCGGATAGATGCGGTTAAAGCTCGCAAAAAATTGTGACCGCGATAGATTCAGTTTCGAAATATCAATTTCGCCAACGAATTTACGAAACTGTGTAAACAATTAACTGTGAAACCGAACTAGTACAAAATCGAAATGTTTGATGATTGGAGATTTTAGTATGTTGTCAACATTTATCTGAGGAAGCGCCCGATTAAATTCAATTTGGAAATGAAATATACATTGTTGTATCTACATTTTTTACAAAATATACCAAAACCTTAAATAACTAAATAAATTGGTGATTTTGTCACCAATTTTTATTAAAAATTTGTTAGTAAACTATCAACAATATTACTTATTAGTTAATATCAAAAATATTATATCAAAAAATCAAACTAATCTATACAATTAGAAGCTTATAAATAATTATAAATTCACACCACCACACCTTAAATTTATTTATATTTACATAGTAGTGAGTTAGTTTTTGAATTCATTTAAAACATGATTCAAAATGAAAAATGAAAATTCAAAACAAAAATGAAAATCAAAGATTTTATTGAAAATACACCAAGTATCTTTTTTATTAAAATGAAATCAAGATAAAACAAATTAAAAAAAACTTCGTGTACAATCAAATAAAAAACGTTTTAACTTTTGAAATTATCACCCAACACCTGTTCTATTTTTAAAAACAAAATCAACAAAGATTATACAAAAAATGTAATTCTCACCATCAAATTTAGTGAATGAAAATTCGTTTTCAGATATAACGAAATTTCCTAAACGGGGATTTCGTTTGACTCTAGCTAAAAGACGCTCTTCTAAAACGTTGTATTGAGAATAACCAGCACTTTCTAAATCCAGGGTGACTTTTGTATGGAAATCATCGAAACCATGTCTAAAAAAAATTGTTTTCATGTAATTATTTTTATTATTATTAAAAAGATCGTACTTACTGAGCGGAAATTAACATGACATGCCTAGATCCGGGTAAATCTTTGTATAAATCTTCAATACTGGCACTTAAATCTTTTTGCATGGCTTTAAATTCTTCAGTGTTGTGGTCCTCGAGTTGAAAATCGAACGGTTCGTTTACGTTAAGTGTTATTCTAAAGTAAATGACATGGTCACTTGGGTCGACATCTCCAGAACCATCACCGGAGAAGGCAGCGATATCTTCATCATCTGTTACTTCATCATTATTATGATTATAATTTGAGTATTCATGATGAGCTAAAAAAATACATTGAAAAATTAAAATTTAAATAGTAAAGAGGCGAAATAAAACGTTTTGTTAGTTATTTTTGCTTGTTAATTTGCAGAGTAGAAATATTCGGACAGTTCGATCTACAAAATTGCGTTCTTTTTGGGATAGTTTTGGTACATAATATTTTGCAAATTAGACACGTTTTGGGTTTGTACTTTAAGAGAAAGCTTCAATATTCTACTTTGCGATAAATATCATACTTAAAATTACAGTTTCTTCTTTTTTTTTTGGTGCATATGAAATATCTCAATTTCTATGCATTATAGAGCAAAAATGGGGAAGAGCAATATTGTAGAGTATGAAATTTGCTACCAGTTTTGTCCACAATTTCTTTTCTTGTTCCTATATTTTCCACAACACTCTTTGCAGTAGCAAAGAAATTATCCAAGAAGCAACTTATCCATAATGTTTGCATATCTTCGTTATCGTAAAAAGATAACGTAAGTCTAAATATATCACTGGCAAGCTAGAATTCTTCTCATCTTAAGCTTCACGGTAAATTTAATATACTCTTATTTCAGAGTTTTAGTTTCCTCATGAACATGAATTGATTTCTTTATTGCTATACCCTATAGCGAAAAAATGGAAGAGACAACTTTTTATTCTGTTTGTTGTACTTTGCATAACATGTGCTGCTAACCAAAATTTACCATAAAATTACCGTAAAATTTCTAGCATTCTCTATTATAAGCTTTTCAGTAAATTTTATGGTTTGCCATTTTCGTTTCTGCCTTTTTATGCGCCTAAATATGAAAATTGGGGAAAACAGAAGGTTTGTAACTTTTTTTATATAAACCATTTTTGGTGGAGGATTTCTAAATTCATATGCGTTATACAGTAAAAACTGAGTAGAGTAATATTGTAGAGTATAAAATTTGCTACTAGCTGTATATACAACTTCACTTCTATTACCTATATTTTCTATAACAGTTGTTGCTGCAAAACAAACTATCCAGTAAGTCACTTTTTCTATAGTTTTTAGAGGATTTCTCGATTCCTATGCATTGTAGAGAAAAAAGTAAAGAGGATAATATTGCAGAGTATAAAATTTGCTATCACTTTTATATATAATAAGTTTTTCTATCGACTATAAATAATATTTTCCATAACAGATGCTACTGTAGTATCAAACTATCCAGTAAGTAACTTTCTCTACAGCTTTGCTCATAACTTCGTTATTTTTAGGGATAACACAAATCTAAATATATCACTGGGCAGCTTCAATCTTCCTCTATCATAATCCTTATAAATTTTATGCATTGCCATATTAGTTCTCCTTTTTGCTTCACATCAATACAGTAATTGGGCGAAATTGAAGGTTTTTAACTTTTTCAATATAGTTGATTTTTAGTGGAGGATTTCTCGGTTCCTACGCATTGTAGAGAAAAAACTAAGGGGAGTAATATTATAGAGCATAAAATTTGCTACCAGTTTTGTATTTAATTTTTTTTCTATCGTCTATATTTTCCAAAACAAGTGATGCAGTAACAACAAACTATGCAGTAAGCAACTTTCTTGTAACATCGTTATTTTTAGGGATAACATAAATCTAAATATATCAGTAGGAAGCTTCAATCTTCCTCTATTTTAATTCTTGTGGTAAATTTTATGCACTGCCTGATTTCAACAACAATTTGAACAACCTGAATTGTTAATAAGATAAATTTTCACTTCCTCAATCGCAATTTTGTTCATGGAAATGTTCCTGTTATATTTTATAATTAAAAAAATAAATTTACCATGATCTATTGTGTTATCTCCTTCATTGGTATCTTCCCTTGTTTTAAAAAAATCAAACAATTGTCTTTTGATTCTATGGAAACCACTGGATATCCAACCTGATTCATTTGGGATGTCTGAAGCTAATGTTTTGTGATTACTATGTGGTTTGATGTCTAAATTGTCGAATACTAAATCTGCATCTCCCTGTAAATAAAAAAAGAAACATTTTATGACGTGTTTATTAAAAGGTAAGTGTATTAAATTGTAAAGTTTATATTAATAGGGAAATCTCATAAATCTATTGAATTATAAGATGTAAAGGCGCAGATGTGCGCCAAAAATAATAGAGCATACGAATTCTTGTGTCAATGCCAGGGGGAATTCGTTGTTTAGACTGGAGTCTTTTTTTGTTTATTCGTTTGGGAAATTTTAAAAGCTAGCCTAGATGACGAGTTCTCGATCGCGTATTTTCCGCTAAATGTACCAATCAATCGGTGGCGATCACTCGGTGGCCTGTCACTCTTCGATGAAATATTCTTCAAAACCGAAGCGAATAGCAATTTGTAAAACAAATATTCACCAAATCCGGATGAGTTATTTATAGTTATTATTATTTATAGCTCTTACTGGAGCGATCGGCGTGGATTTTCCGTCTGTCATACAGTTTGGAAAACGCCTGAAAATTTATTCTCTTCCGTATTTCTCGATTTTTCGAAATTTAGAAGTAATTCTCCTTCATTTAAAATCACCGCAAGATGTCGCCAAGTTATAATACCCTCTTTCCCGACTACGAAAGACCAAACGCCCGATGTTGACAAATTGCCCTGAAAAATTGCCCGGTCATTTTCTCAAGTTTTTAACGAGAGAGGCTAGGAATCGGTCGGTAGAAGAAAACGAGAGGTCCATTTCGACGCAACCCTCTCATTTTCCATCGAATCGACGCGTCCGGTACATAAACAAACCGAATGAGAATACAAATTCTTCTCGATATGGCTCGAACACACAATCGATGTTGTGTATCATACACGGTCGTCGTCGTCTCTGCTTCAAATCTTGCCCCCCGACCACCAGCGCATCGTTGAATCTAACCGCATCCCGGCCATAACTTCATATCAGGACGATATCAAGATGATAGGCACGCCCCCAGGAACGCTCTACAACTGATCCTGGACATTAAGTCCCCCACCCTATGGTTGTTACCGACAAATTTTGACCCTATTTTAAGGGACTTGACTGAGGATTTTTACAGATTTTCTACAAATAACGTTTTTAAAAAGCTTAAATAAAAATTTTTTCTAAACAAAACATAAAAATATTTATTTCAATTAAAATAACCTTATAAAATTAATAATTTTAAATTAAGTTAGTGAAAATAAATTGAAATCACTCAAAAGCAAAATTTGAAAATCAAACCGCAATTGAGGTAAAATTAAATCAAAGGATCAGTTAAAACTGGTTTCGACAGAAATTGAAATTGAATTGATTCAAATCAGTTCAAAACGGTATCGATTGAAATTTTGCTAGATTTGTTTAACTGGGGTAGTTAAAATATGACTGAACTGAAAAGAAGGTACGATTTATTAAAGAACTAATTTGAATTGACAAAAACGAGCTACAATTCATTGAAATGGCACAATCAATATTGGAATTACTTTAAATGGAAGCAAAATTGAAATAGTGTAACTAAAACAAGAATTTATTGATATGTGACTAAAATGTTAAAAAGTTGAAATATACTAATTAGAAATAGTATTGAAGACTAGCTCACTTAAGATTTCCGCATTTTTATAGATTATTCGGCTCTTTTATGATCAATAATATAATGGAAATTACCAAATTTCCTGGTAGCTTAGCACTTATCAGTATGGGGAGGGATATTGTGATGGAATGAAAAATCGTGATCTAAGAGGTGGAGGATTTCGATGGTTTACTCTGTGTAAATGCACCTTTGGTTATCAAACGGTTATTATTGATTTTGAGTTGTTGTGATTGATTAATATCGATATACTTGAATATTCCAGCTGATAGCTGACAAGTTTGATAATCTAATGGTATTAGTTGGGTTGATCTATTGAGAACGTAATGACCATTAAGATTTCTGGATGTACAAAATGTCTTGAGAGTACTGTTCTTATAGAAAAAACTACAAATGAAGTATTATAGAGTTGCACATCTTCTGGATCTGAATTGGTGTGGAGGTATTAAAAGGATTTAAAAAATGCTTGTAATGCCGCGATTTTCAACAAAACCTTAAATTCTGTTGATTGTTGCATTTCAATACATGATTATAATATAAAATAATCTAAAATAAAGGCGTACCTCTCTTTGCATCGTTTCCAATCTCGGTCAGAAATGTTCATGATATCAATAAATAACTTATTGCTTGTGACCCTGACTTCTTACAATTTTATAGCGCTATGATTGATGCACTCAATCGAATTTTAATCAATGCAATTGTTGGTGATGGTGTAACAACGCAAATGCTCTTACTACATCACTTTACTATTTATATCAACCTTATTATTAACTATGTCGAGAACTATTTTCCCAAGAGTTACGCGTATTCCAAAAACAGGAAAGGTTAATTTTTTGTGGAACCTGCAGCCAATAAATATTTTGCTATTTTATGTTTAAATTATAGGAGAATGCCATCAACAAACATGGACGAACATTTTAACCTCTTCAATGCAGTAGTATAAAGATAGATCGACAAGAAAGTAAAAATTTAGTCAGAATCTTTTCAATCTGAGGTTGATGGTTATTGTAGTTTATGACTCAGAAGCAACATTATGTATTACTTTCTTCTACATGGAATTACAAAGATAAAAGCCTACAACAGCAGGTACGATATGGTCTTTAGGATAAAACTAATGATCTGGACAATTTCCACTGCAACGTATCTAATAAGGTAATCATACCAAAGATACAGGTAAGACGACTAACATATATATTGCCTTCTAATTTGAGTAATGCTTTTTAGTAGAAAATGTTATCCATTAAAAATTACAAGATCAATATTTCACAAATTTTTTGGGCAAAATAAAATTTTACAAATTTCGCTCAACATCAAATATTTATATCTCAAAAATTAAAAGTAATTTTGTAAAATGGATACTTTTGCTGAAAAATACACACATTACTTTATAACTAATGAATATTACAGATCAATTCCATTGAATCGATTAAACGGTCTAAAATTTCGGAACGTTTAAAATTTTATGTATGATTTGACATCAAAAATTTTATGAAAAATGCTGCTAATAAAATAAAAATTCCTTTTTAATTATCTAGTATACATTAACTAAATGTTATGTGGTTCACCTGGTTCTGCATAAATAGTAAATAAGATTCTACACGTTACAACTCATAAACATATTCTTTTTCTATTTTGGACAACCAAGCTAGACATAAACCCGCGAAATGGAATTAACGGTTTTATATTAATAAATTATAAATTGAATCAATACTGGAAACATTACATAAAATAACGGTGTTTCAAAAAAAGTTTTATATGTTAGATAAAACATCCTAAACATAACAATATACAAGAGAAAGTTTGTGTAAGTTTCTCCTATAAATTTGTGGAATAAATTTATAATAACTAATACGAAAATGACGTAGCTTAAAACCCAAGAGCGTCAAGCGAAATTATCCAATTTTTCGGGAACAGGAAAGATCCGGTGGCGGCTAGTAGCGAGATCCGGACGCAAACGGAATAACGAATTAAAGGCATTACGGACGTCGTTTTCCCGGCGTCGGGGTGCGGTAAACAAACCGCCGCTTAAAACCTGAAATATCTTCCTAATTAGGGCGACGGCGTCGCGACGCGCGTCCTTTTTCAGGCTCGTGCTACCTTTTTCGCAGCATGAAGCCATCTGGCGGCTGGTTTACGCGCGCAAATAATGTCGACGGCCATCTGGTTTCCTTCCCGTCGATTTTATTTTACCACGCGGGGCCGGCAAATAGGGTAATGCACTAGATGTACACAACTTAATTCTCTTAAAAGTGCTCGTGTGTCCGCAGTGGTGTTTCAGGATACGTACGTACAATAGACGTCTTGTTTAGTTCGATTACAAAGTAAACGATGAGAATTAACCAAGAAGTTGAACTACAACAAAAAATTTTTTTAGCAAAAATGTATTACTTAAGGGTAAGATTTATGGAAATTTATAAAGAGGGTGTGAGGTGTTGAATGAATCGTATCGGCTTTCGATACAAATCACAGCGACGGCTGCTTATTGCCGATCAAATTAAATTTTCAACCGATTAATAAATTATGATAAAAGCGGTCGGTCCGCGAGCCGGCTTAAACTGCAAATCGGCGCCCCTCTTTTCCCTGCGCGTAAATCAACGTAATTTCGTGATTTACTGCCGCGCGAGCCCCGTTGCGACATCACTTTCGACAATTTCGCGTTCCCTGTTAATGAATTGTCGCTGTTTAAACACGCGTTTTTCCCGTCCGCAACTGTGCCAGGGTAAAACCGACAGTTTGTAATTCTCATGAACGTTGTGGTTAATTAGATAAATCGAAATTTACCTGTTTAAATTTGTAAATTAAAAAATTACTAATTAAAAAAAAAAATAATAATAATAATAAATAAAAATAAATTGTATTAAAACATGTTCGCTTACAGACTACATTCATGTAATGTAAACACGACTTAATAAACTCGAATTAATTACGACAAAGCTAAATATAGGAGTGAGTTGGACAACGAAAACTCTGTTTTCACTCATAATTAGGAATTCTATTAACGGAATAGTGTAATTATTTTCATTTTAAAATTGGTGTGTATTTATGCCTTTTTAAATAACTTTATGATCTTGTTTAAAGATAAAATATATCTTGGAGTCGTTTAATTTTGTGGAGTCAAGATGGCTTGGTTCAATCCGTAGCTAGAGCAAGTTCAGTACCGCCTGGTGAGCAATTATAAATTCGGTAAGTCGAGAAGGTGTGGTGCAATTTGCGGGGCCCTTGTAACGGGATTGGCTTAATTTGCCGCACGGCTAATAGGCACGAAAGCTACACCGCCCGTTGTAAATGTTCTCCTTATTACCACTGCTCCGGCCTTTAACGTTCTGCCCAAGCGAAACCGATACACGCGTACACGGCTTAATTGTCCCTCCGCGTAGTGTAGATCGATGCGAAACGCTTCGAAATGCGCCGACACAAACTCCTTTAAAAGCCCCTTACGAATCGGATA